TGCAGGAATGTCCCCAAAAACCTCATATTTCAAACAGAAGCTCCACAATCAATCTGCTACGAACCCTAGAGAAAGAGAGGGAATGGAGAAAGAAGGGGAACATTCGAAGAAAAGGGTGATGGTGGAGTCATTGGGATGGATAACGGAATCCTCTATTATGCCCTAAAAGCGTCAGGCAATCGAGGGCATTGAGCCCTCCTCACTCCTCGAGCTCAAGGCACAACTCTACAAACCACAAGAAGAAGCCAAGCGCCAATCCAAATAGCCCATCCACTTTGTAGAAATTTATGGGCCTAACTCATCTCACAAATCCGGTTCTACAAGAGATGTTTGACACATAATTTATAAACTGGCCCAAGACATTGTCCACATGCGATGTGGGATTTATTTCCAACAATATAAAAGAATGCAGATAATCTCTAGTGAATGATATCTTTGTAGGTTCCAGCATATATATAGACTTTCTTAGGTAATATGTATGTCTATTTTGGAAGTCGACTAAATGGTTTGAAAACTATACCCGTCATTGTAACTGATATCTCATCCGCCTCCTAGCTCAAACAGTTCAACAGGTCCAATTGTCTGACTGAAGTAGATGACATTGTCGATGAAGCTTAAGTATATACAAGTGTGTCATTTGAACTTTCCTATAGTTAGCTTTACCCCTGTAACAGGCCACAAGAACTCATTCCTCACCTTCATCAATTCTTTTGTTCGTAGCATGCACTCTGCAATAAAGTTCACTTTCGTTTCTCGGAAGTAATAAAAGAAATTAACGTATTTGGTCTTTGAAGAGGCCTGTTGGGTCATGAGGATGTGAAGTCATGCAACATGGAGAAATACAATACTAAGATACATAAAAAAAAAATGAAGAGAAACATTGGGAGGAGACCGATGAGATAAGATGTTGGTCGCTGGGGAAAATTAAGCATAGACAATGAAAGTGGTGATTTAGATCTTCCCTGGAGAACAAAAAGAGAGAAGAAAATGTACGGGCCCGAGTTCTATATCTATCCATAATCAAATAGAATAGGCTTCGGAGCTGCCGCTCTTTTGCTTTAGGAGTTATGTTTTGACATCCAATACTAGCGGTTGATTTCTTTCGATGGCTTAGTCAGTAGATATATTTGAGCCGGGAGGTAGTCAACTGGTTACAATGATTTTTGGCTGGAGGGTTATTTGCTGACTGAACTGATAGGATTAGAATACATGGCATTCTTAGAGATTCTGAAAAAATATAAACACCATCATAATTTTAATCTACTGCTTATTACTCTCTTTCGAACAAAAGGAGCAAGTTGATTTGGTAGTTACTGGTATCTTGAAGCAGCAGTATGACTAGTATCTAGATTTTGAGAACAAATACTGAGGTTACTTTAGAAATTCACCAACTTAATTTTTTGTCGTTCGTCAAATTTTCTCAAAAGACTAGTGTGACATAATCTGTCAGTTCTCATTTATTGAAGTAGATTGCTTTTGTTTTTCTCCATATTGTTTTGCAATTTAATCTTTTAAACTGAATACTACTATTGAACCAAATAAATAGGGTGGTTGTTGGAATAAGTTTTGTTTATTCGGGGTCAAACCAGCTGCTCTGGTTTTGGTTTGGAAAACCTTTGGTTGTAGAGAAACATCAGGTTTATCTGAACAATAGTAAGGATAAACAATGCGAAATTTGAAGTTGTATATTTATAGAAACACACCTCAAAAATTATATGAATTCTTGAACTCAGGCTCCTACAGGAATTTCTGTAATACTCAGGTTTGCCAATGTTCTTTTGCCTTTTAAAGCAGAGTAGAAATACTAGGTGTATATTCATTTGATTCATAGAGTTTTTATGAATCTCTTCATTAAGTTCATATTTTATATTGAGTTGGTAGACCTCAAATTCTACTATTTTGATAAATTTCTCTTATACGTTGAAGGTTGATCTTTTGAAGAACAAATTTGGGTTCGATGATGCGTTTAACTACAAAGAAGAGCCAGATTTGAATGTAGCTTTGAAAAGGTTAGTTCAAAAACTTCCCTTTATATCATCATCATCATGTGGCCATCGTGGAAACGTGTCTCGCTTAAATTTTTAGGTAACTATCCCAGTTGTGAAACAAAACATAGCCTCAAGTATGAGGGCCAGTCAACAATTAATGGAGATTTGAACACTTTCTGTCATAGTGAACGGGACTGATTGTCCAACTATAATGTAAGGTTGAGAATCAATTTGCTCATTTTCACAGGTTGAGGGCAAAATTTCTCATGGGTTGCCCAGTTACTTCCTAAATCCCTTTCTCATGTAAGGCTAATGATGAAATGCTTGCAAAATTGGTGCAAATAGACTAAATATACATTTTATTTGTCATACTTCGTTTAGGTTATTTCCTGATGGAATTGATATATACTTTGAGAATGTCGGAGGAAAGATGCTCAATGCAGTGCTTCTCAACATGAAACTCCATGGTCGCATTGCAGTCTGTGGGATGATCTCACAGTACAACCTGGAGCAGCCTGAAGGTGTACACAACTTATTCTATCTTGTGTCGAAGCGAATCCGCATGGAAGGGTTTCTAGTTTTCGACTATTATCACAACTACCCAAAGTTTCTTGAGGCAGTTCTGCCTGTTATAAAAGAAGGAAAAATTACGTATATAGAAGACATAGCTGAAGGCCTTGAAAGTGCACCAGCTGCTCTGATAGGGCTCTTCTCTGGACGCAATGTTGGGAAGCAGTTGGTGGTGGTCGCTCACGAGTAAATTTTGCAATGCACAAATATATTTCGTGGATCGTACTAATGCTATTATGTGCAGTTTGGATGTTATATAAGCATACTTTACTTTACAGTTACACTATAGTCTGCTCCACTTTTTCTTTAATGTCTGATACTTTATGGATAATAATGGATGGCCATGTAATATTTCATGTCAGAATTATACAGGCCATTGTTCAAGTCTTTTTGTCAAGCCTTCCCACGTATTTTCATCGAAGTCTCTCTTTAGTAATACTACTTTCAGCTTGATTAGAATTGTTTGAATTCATTATTGAAGGTCAAATTGTCCTATAGTTCGTTTGAATAATGCTATGTAGCTCTACCGAGGTTGCAACCCCAGTGTAGGTAGCTCTAGATTATAGGTTAAATGAAATATGAGATTAAATAAATCATTTAATTTCACTTATTATTTAATATCACATCAACGCCACCTAGATTGCAACCCAATGAAACTAAATAGCATTACTCGATTTGTTTTCCTAAGAATTGGTATAGCATTAGCATCTACTAACACGAATATCTAAAAATGTCTTTTAATGAATCCAAGCTAGCATAAGCTAAAAATTTATTGTAATAATTTGTTCCATTGGGTAGAATTCACTCAATTATACGAATATATTCAGCCCCTCTTTGAGATCGACGGTGGACTATTATTTTCAATGGGTGATTCTAAGGTACCAATTTTCTAACGAAAGTTGTCCTCTTCGAGTCATCCATAACGAGGATCCCACCAAGATCAAGATGGGGAGCCTGCTTAGGCTCGTGTTCATGGTGGTTTAGTTTTATTTCAGTTGGGTGACTCTACGAAACCAATTTTATAATGAAAGTTATCATCAAGTCATCCACAACGAGGGTTCCCTAAGATGGGGTGTATGCTGTGATACCAATTGTAACGACCATTTTTCGTTGAAATTACCTTTAAAGCCGCCAAGAGAAGGGTGCCCAAATGACATCATGTCTCTAGTTGATGCCTGAATATCGATTCGTGTTGATCACTAAATTTAAATAAATGAAAATTAAGATTTTATATATCTGATTACAGTAATGAGAGGGATGGGGGGAGGGGGAGAAGAAAGATACAGATTTTTTTTGTAGGATGAATTTGAGTGGAAAAACTTATGCTGAGTATCAAGACAAGAAGCTATCTTTTGAAATGTCAATGATGAGATAACATATCCAACTGAAAAATCATTTAGAGTTTATTATTTCTTATATATAATTGATCATGTTCTTTATTCACTTAAAGTAATATTTGAACAATTTTAAAAATACGAAAATGTTTTTGGATTTTTGTTTGATTCAAACAAAATTGAAGATTGCATATGATAATTCTTTGAAATGTTGGTGTCATAAGCTAAAAAAAAGTTTCAAAGCGCGACAGAAATTCTGATACTATGGGCAAAAGTAATTTTTTGAGCTACAAATTTTGAGAAATTATTTGTCAGAAGAGACAAAAAAAGGTGATTGAAGTGTTAAACTATATTAAATGGTATGCAGGATTAAATTAACATTGAAGTTGAATGCAGCGAAAGATACATAATAAATGTGACCAAGTTTCTCTATATAAGATTTTTATGTATGTGAACCCACCCCTTGCCCAAAAAATGTTTAGTCTTCAACATTCGCTTTTGGCTTTGAAAGCAAGGTGTGGTTGGAATTATCCTGGAGTTATGAATATGTTTAGCTTCATCATAAATAGGGTACTTCTAACTGTCGAATTGTTGATTTGTAATTTTTTTTATTGAGAGCATGTTTGGCTAAGCTTAAAAAGTTACAAGTTTGTAGTCAAAGTTGGACACAAGTATTTTATTTATTTGATACTAAGGTAAGAGTTATTTCCAAAATAATTTAAAAGTATATTACATCCACCATGTTTGCGAACAAAGATTTTTTTTTTTAAGCTAAGCCAATCATCATAATTTATACGGTTAATCCTTCAATCCCCCCTCCCCCACCCGTCCCGACGAAGCAATGACTCCAGGTCAATGTCAACAAACGAACTATTCATCATGATTATCATATTTAATTCAGATACTTCTCTAATAGAATCGATATTTACTTTGACAATATTGAAGGAAAGACGCTTGATGTAGGGTTTCTCAACATGAAACTTCATGGTCGGACTGTTGCCTGTGCAGGGGTGGAGCCAGCACTCGGCGAGCCATAACGATCGCTCGTGCTGTCTCCACCGAAAAAAATAAAAAATAAAAAAAATCCATATAATTGGCAACATCGTGCTCGCCTAGATCGACCCTACCTCACTCGAATTCCTGAATCCAACCTTGCCTGTGAAATGATCTCACTATGCAACATGATGGTGTATACAACTTATTTAGTCTTACTACAAAGAGAAATTATTGAAGGTTTTTAGTTTTTTACTACTATCATCTCTATCCGAGGTTTCTTGCGATAATTCTATCCAAAAAAAAAAAGCCAAATTAAATTACTTATATAAAATACATAGCTGAAGGCCTTGAAAGTGCACCATAGGGCCTTTTTCTCTGGTGTCGATGTTGGGAAGTAGGTGGTGCTTGTTGCTCACTAGTAAACTATAGACACACAAATTACATATTTGGTATACATTACGAAGATTAGTTATTTTATCTGTTGGAAAATATATTATTTGGCAAATGAATTTTCACTTGTGTATGTGAAATTAATCCCACATTGATTGAAAGTTGGGATTTGAAGAAGAGCTTTAAAAGGGATTAACAATCCCACTTTGGTTAGAAATGGAAAAGTGGGAATATATGGGGACTATAAATAGTACCATCCCACATTGGAAAAAGAAAAAA